AAGAAGAAGAAGAGGAGGAGGAGGAGGAGGAATAAAGAGGAAGAGGAGGACGAAGAGAAAGAACTTAAATATGCTACAAAGTTTCTCTTTTTCTGTGGGCAGGAGAAAGCATTAAGATCAATTATTTTGGGCAGTGGAAAAAGTTTAATGTTAGAGTGCTTGCCTAGCACATGCAAGGCCCCACAAAATAAAAGAAAAAAGCTATTTCAGTTCTTTATTATAACCAAGATAGAAAGGTTAGAGGAAACTAGAGAGAGAGATACCAAAAGAAGATAAGACATTCAGTCAGTACTGCACATTTAATGCACTGTATTTACTACCAATATATCCACCTAAAGGAAAAGATAGCAGGACCTAGAGAGATAAGTCTTCCTCAAATGGGAAGAGGATCAGAGATGGGAGTGAGTGGGGAGTGGGGATGTGCCGTGTGCGTGCACCAACACCACCCAAGGACTGTGAGCAGTGTCCTGCAAATATGTATTAATAAAAATAAAAACAGAGCCGGGCATGGTGACGCCACACGCCTGTCATCCCAGCACTCGGGAGGCTGAGGCAGGAGGATCTCTGTGAGTTCGAGACCAGCCTGGGCCACATAGTGAGTTCCAGGTCAGTCTCAAGCACAGAGTGAGACCCTGTCTCAAAAATAAATAAATAAATAAAATAAGAATAAAAATAGATATCCACCTAAGTATATGTCCTCCAGCCATTTGAAGACAAAACAGAGTCCTGGTTTAAGAGTGGGGAGGGGAAGTAGATGATTAAAGATGCATTGAAGTTTGAGGAGAGACCAGAAACCATAGGAATCCTGCTGTGCTGCCAGAGAGGACAGCCAGTGCGGAGGCCTTAAGGAGGAAATGCCTAGAATATTTGAGAAACATCTTAGAGACCAGTATGGTTCTGGCTTATATTTCTAAAAGATCACCCTGGAAACTGGGTGAACTATAGACTCTAACCTTGTGTGTGTTCCGTTTCACTGTACATAATCTATAACATTAATTCCCAGTTGTGAGGTCGCTGAGCCTCAGGGCAGATACATTTGTAACTTTGATGTATATGGCAAAATTTCCATCTGGTTTCCACTTCACCAACCGTGTTAAAGAGGCCAGTTACTTCATAGCCTCACACACACAAAGAAAGAAGCTTTTGGGAAGTGGTAATTTTTTTCAATGGGTCAGAAGCCACAAAATCAAAATGGTGGCGAGGTTGCGTTCCTCTTGGAAGCACTCAGAGGAAGTCCTTTTCCTTGCTAGTTATCACCTACATTCCTTCACTGATGGTTCAATGTTCTATCTCCAAATCCCCATCAGCATAGCATTAAACTCTTTCTCCTTCTGTCATTTCATTACTTTTTATGACTCTGACCCTGATTGTTCCTTGGTGATTGATTACATTTTGCCTACCCATGTACTCCCTCATCTCAAAATCCTGAATTTAATCACACCTGAAAAGTCCGTTTTGCCATATAAGGTAACATTCACAGGTTCCAGGGATTCGAATGTGGAAGGGTTGCAGCGGGGAGAGGCACTGGTTGTTTTCCTGTGATAGTCTCCCAGCTTGCTTACGATCTGTGCGGTTGTTTTGCTTTTGTTTTAGCCATTTGGAGTTTATCCTGGTAAACAGTGTGAAATACAGATCAGATTTTTTTTTTCCAAACAACTCTTTCTAGTAAATAGTACCAGCCTCATTTACTGAAAAGTTCAACTTTACCCTAAAATATAGTGTATTCCTATATATACCTTTGTTGCTTTTTGAACTTTCTATTTTGATCCACTGTCTATGTAAAAAGTATACTTTTATTTGTGTTTTGTTTTGTTTTTGTTTTTGTTTTTTGTTTAGCTAGTTGGTTTTTGGTTAGGGAGGGTTGTTTGTTGGTACTGGGGATTGAACCCAGGGCCTTGCATCTAGTTATATCTCCCACCCTTTTTTTATTTTTCTTTTGAGACAGGGTCAGACTAAGTTACCAAGCTGCTCAGTCTGTCAGAGTCCTAGGATTATAGGTATGTGCCACCACACCTGGTTAAAAGTACAGGGTTTTTTCATAGTATGTCATAGTATCTGGTAGGGCCGACAAAATTTACTCTTCTCTTCTACCCCCTTCATCCATGCATACATGCAGCACCTTGCTGTTTTTTTTTTCAAGGTTTTCTTTGCTATTATTATTTATTTTTCCATATGAACTTTAGAATCAACTTGCCTGATTTTAGGGAGGGAAGGGTATTAGTTTCGTTGGAGTAACTTTATGAGGTTAGATCTTACTTTCCTTGAACATGATATTCTTTCAAGATACTTTGCTCTTTCGGTGGTATTTTAATATTTTTATATCAATTTTACACATGTCAAATTTATTCCCAGCTTTTTAATCTTTCTTTTTGTATATAAAATGGAAGAAACATTTGTAACACTTTGTAATTAGTTTTTATGCATGAAAGCTATGGTTGATACATTTATGGTGTTAATTATGTTATTAAGTTACATACTGCTACTTTTCTCACTTTCTTATTTATAGTTGTTTTTTTGGCTGAGTCTTTTGTTTTTCCCAGTTATGTGTCTTCAAATCGTGAGAATTAAACTTTCTAAGTTTTATATTTCTGCCTTTCTCTGTCTCTTCCATTTTGTTATTAAATAGCATTGGTGTTGTATGCATCTGTCTTATTCCTTACCTTAGTGAGAAGGGCTTATAAAAAATATTTGCTGGCTTTGGGTTTCTCTCTTGCTATCTCTCCTCTCATTTTTTTTGTTGTTTTTTGTTTGTTTGTTTGTTTTGTTTTGTTTTTGTTTTGGTACTGGGGATCGAACTCAGGCCGTTGTGCTTGAGAGGCAGGCAGCAGAACCACTGAGCTAAGTCCCCAGCCCTCTCTCCTCTCATATTAAAGAAATACATATCAGTTCCTGTTTTACTCTTTTATCCAAATAAGTTCCTATTTTACTCTTATTTCAAAAATAAGTGTTGAATTTGTTAAATGCATTTTTAATATAAATAGGTTATATGCCTTTGCTTAAGTGCCCCCCCATACCGGGGATTGAACTTGGGACCTTGCACTTGCAAGTCAGGCAGCAGAATCACTGAGCTAACTCCCCAGCCCCTGAAGCTTTTTAATATGACTTGTTAACTTTTAATATTTTAAAATACATTCTCAGATTCTAAGTTTAAATATGCTATCATTTATACCTCATGTTCTATAAAGTAGGCCTTAAATTTTTGCAGTATTTCTCTCCTGTGTGGCTTTTCATCATTGCCCAATGCTACCATGCCTACTTATGGCAGTTGCACATTATAAAGGGAGCTTTATTTTTGTTCAAAGACTCAGTAAAATTAAGCTGAGAGTTTGATTTGGCTCATCGGTTAAAGAATCCCCTCCCCATAGCAGAAGAGGTGGGGCTAAATCTGAGCTGGCCGTTTAATGGTGCCTGCTTAAATTCTCTTAAAATAGTTTGTATTTTGTCTTCCAGTAATGGTGAAAGAAGAAAGAATACGGTCTGAGCACCGGAAGAAAAGTGTTGGGATTGATTAACCCTTCTGGATGAGTTCTAGTTGGTTTTAGGTTTCAAAGAAACACTATGAAAACATTTTTTGTACTTCTGTTTCATCCTTTCTGTCCTTAGGGATCCCGCTGTGTAAAGCCAAACTGTCCAATATTGAGCACTTGAATTACAGCTATTGATATGTTTGCACTGTAAAATGCACACAAATTTTATATATAAATAATTTTATATTATATATTGATAACATTTGGATTATTAGAATAGATAAAATATGTCTTGTTTGTTTGTTTGTTTGTCTGTTGTTTGTTTGAGACAGGGTCTCACTATGTAGTTCAGGCTAACCTTGAATTCACTATGTAGCCCAGGCTGCCTTTGAACTCAGGAGATCTTCCTGCCTCAGCCTCCCAAGTGCTGGGGCTAAAGGCATGGGCCACCATGCCCAGCTAAAATGTCATTCTTGTTATTAATTTCAGAGCTAGGAGTACAGTATAGCTCAGCAGTAGAGTGCTTGCCTAACTTACGCAAGGTCCTGCATTTGATCTATAGCACAGAAAAAGAAACAAAAAGATTGGCATCACCTGTTCCTTTTCACTGTTGATGTGACTACTCGAAAATGTAATGTTGCACATATAACTTACGTTGTATATCTATTGGGTGGCAAAAGTCTAGAGGTAGTAGGTCTGTGGGTACTTATTTACAGATACTATAGTGATTGTCATACTTTAGAAATTGCCTTTTTTTTTTTTTTCTTTGTACCAGGGCTTGAACTCAGGACCTTGCACTTTCGATGCAGGCACAATGCCACTGAGCTAAATCCCTGGCCAAAGAATTGATTATTTATTTGTTTGTTTGTTTGTTTATTTATTTATTGGTACCGAGGATCGAAGTGGAATCCTTGCGCTTGCAAGGCAGGCGGCAGAACCACTAAGCTAAAGCCCTGGCCCAAGAAATTGCCATTTTATATCTTCCTTTGTCACTTTGTTTCTTATGAGAATAAACTTTGATGACTTCTATAATAATTCCCATTATAATGGGAATGTACCTCCAACAGGAGGTAACCAATGGGTTTCCTCCTCTCTAATTCTTCTGTTTATCTGTTTATACTCATGAAAGTTAAACACAGTAGGTTTCCTGTGTTTTGAAATTCCACTAAACATTCAAGAACTGCTATAAATAGAAATGAGAGTTAATAAAAAAGAAAAAAAAAGAAATGAAAGTTAATTTAGAGGTCTGAGGTCTGCTTTTTGCCTTGTCCTATAGAATATATTTCAATAGAAGTGCCCTACTTCAAAATACAATTTGTTTTAACATTTCTTCACACTTTTTCTACCATTACTCTAAAAAGCAGCCTTCCCCCATTCTTCTAAGGAGAGCTGGAGTTTGGCATCTTTTAGTTCTGTCTTGTTGCAGGATCTTCAGTATTGTGAATAGTTCTTTTCTTAACTCTTTTATTCTTCAAAAACAGAAACAAATTACTCACAAAGCCTTTTTCATCTTGCCTTTTGTTACATTTTCAGGAAAATGACATCACAGACAATATTGGAATATCAACTTGGAAGGAGCAGACGTTCCTCTCCCATGGTGCCTTACTAGCAAAGAGCTGCCAGGCTGCGATGGAATTAGCAAAGCACAATGCTGAGATTCAGAGTACAGCATTTCGGTACGGAAAGCACGTGGCCATGAGTCATAAGGTGTGTGTGTGTCCTTTATCTGTCAGCATACTTAAATAGCTGAAAGTGATAACGGAAACCTTTTGCCATTTAATAAGCTGCTTTTATGTCTCAAAAAATGTTTATTATGTGTTTAAATAGTCTCAGTTGTGGATGGCGATTGTTATGTAACACAAGCAATATGATTGGAAAGTACTGTGTAATTTGGACAGAAAGCTACAGTTTACTTAAGCCACCTTGGTGATGTTTGTCTTTTCTTTCCACCTGAGAGGACTCCTGAGAGAACTCATACAAATTATTAAGTAACAGGTAATATTGCCATTCACAGAATGGAAAAATATTTGTTATTTTTGTTGACATTCCCTTATAGTTTCTTATGGAAAGTTAGTGAAATTTAGTAATATACTGAATAAAATTGAAAGCTTTAATTCTTTTTTCTTTGTGTGTGTGGCGGGGGTGGTACAGGGGATCGAACTCGGGCCCTTGTGCTTGTAGGGCAAGCGGTGAAACCACTGAGCTAAATCCCTGGCTGAAAGCTTTAATTCTAACAACTGATTCATTTTAATAGCATATGAAATATATAATACCTCAAAAGTAGCTGCTTATGTTGTTGCATCTCCGTCTCTTTCTCTGTCTCTCCCTCTCTCAATCTCTCTCTAATATAATTTTAGATTTTTAGTTAGTATATATTTTTGTGATGTTACTTAACAGCTGATAAGTAGGGAACATATATATACATATATATATGCTTATATATGTATATATATATATAATTTGAAGAGTTTGCATATTTTGTTAGTTATTCGTTTATTAGGTAATTATATTTATTAAATCTTTACCTAAATCCTTACCTTGAACTTGAAATTAAAATGCAGTCTGCTACCAAATTAAAAAAAAAAGAATGGGGCTGAGGATGTACTTAATGGTAAAGCATATGCTTAGCATGCTCAAGGCCTTGGCTTTGCTCTCCAATACCTAAGGATGGAAGAAAGAGGGAGAAAAGGAGGAAGGGAAAATTAATACTAAAGAAGTTTAAAGATTATTGACAATCACCCAAAATGTTCTTTTGTTTATTAAAATATATTTAAAATCTACATTCCTTAAGCTTCATTTTTCACTGCATTAAACTGGTGTTTTCTGAATATGACTAAAACATACTAGTGCATGTACATCTTATTGATATAACTCTTTAAACTGCTCCTTCTAGATTCATTCTGACCTCCAACCTTTTGTAAAAGAAAAGGCCAGTGACACCGTGGCTTTTAATCTAAACTCAGCACCTGTGGTTTTACATCAGGAGTTTCTTGGAAGAGATTTGTGGATGAAGCAGATCAGAGAGGTGAGATGAAATCACTCCTATTTTAGGTACTATTAATATTTAGTTGATTTTAAACATAGTTTATATATAATATTTCAGCTATATATCAGCCATAAAAGCATATTTAACGGGCAAAATTCTTGCCCTATAATCTACATTTTTAAGAGGATATTAGTGAGAAGTTATAGACTGCGTTATTGTGTTTTTTATCTGAGTTCTTCGAATACTGCAGCACAACTCCAAAGCCTGTGGTGAATGCTAATTAACTCAGATGAATTTTTTTCTAAAGGTTTTCAGCCATCGGGCTGTGGTAATAGCACCACCCTTTAACTGACGGCAATTTCCCATCTGTGGACTCTCTCACAAGCTGCAGAATTCCAGGAGCTCCGTCTGTCAGCTCTTTGGGTTATTTTAAAACAAACTTGGACCTTATACACTCATTCTGAGGCATTATCAAAGATGAAAGCAGCATGGTGAAATGAGAAGGGTAAAGGGGCTTGGATTGGGTGAATCTCCCACCTTTTGGAGGCATGAAGATAGAATAGGAGAAGGAATTTTTTGGTTTTCTTTTAATTTAGAAACTCCAGTGTAAAAGTTCTTGCCTTCTTATACAGAGCTTTATGAGATATACTCACCTGCGTGGTTGTGATTGGTTGGGTTAATCTGAGGCCCTACACTGGGGAAACCAGGCACCACGGAGGACAGGGAAGATGAGGGTAGATACCCTATTTACAGCAGATTGCCGTGGCCAGGGATTTAGTTTAGCTCAGTGTTTTCACCACCTGCCTTGTAAGCACAAGGACCCAGGTTCAATCCCTAGTACCAAGAATTAATAATAATAATAATAAATTAAATTAAATTAAATACAGCAGATTGCCATGGATAGCAGCATTCTGAAAGACAGGTTTCCCCTCTCTCAACCTTTTTCTTGTATTGACCCTCAAAATGCTAGCAGCCAGCTTAAAATCTTGCCTAATCACCATGTAGAAACCTGGAGGAATCCTTTCTTAGGAAACTGTCAAACCCACGAGAGAGACCTGCAGATGTGGCTATTTGGGCCATTCTCAGTAAACATGCTATATCCATTGTCAGTCCTCAACAGCCATACCTGCCAGTCAGCAAGGCTCAGTGTGCTGTTATGCACAAGAAACTCCAGCTGCCTCACTGACAAAGAGAATAAGTTACAGAAGACCACAGGGCTTCCCTGAGAAAGAAAAAGTCAAAAACCAACTAATGAAAAAGGAGACTCAAAGGAAACAAAAATGATGAAAGGAAAGAGATATTTTCAGAAGCACTTTAGCAAGATTTTAAACTGATATTAGAAGAAGTGATTATAAAATATAATCAGAATTGCTGGAGCCAGGTGTGATGGCGCATGCCTGTAATCCCAGCACTCAGGAGGCTGAGGCAGGAGGATTGCTGTGAGTTCAAGACCAGCCTGGGCTACCTAGTGAGTTCCAGGTCAGACTTACCTACATAGTGAGACTCTGTCTCAAAAAAAAAAAAGAATATAAAACAGAATTGCTGGGCACTGCAACCCCAGTACTTAGGAGGCTGTTACAGGAGGATCTCTGTGAGTTCAAGGCCAGCCTGGACTACACAGTGAGTTTAAGACTAGCCTATATTACATAACAAGACCTTGTCTCAAAAAAAAAAAA